AATAGTAAACAAAAGAATACGTTACTTTAAGTGTCAGTTAACATAATAAATGAATATAATTTCTAGTTTATGATCCATATCTATATGCCTTACACCATGCCAAGTACTTTTATCTCTTTAGGTTGATAAAATGCCAGGAAATAAATTATCTTATCAGTCAATTTTGCAGATAAGCAATCTAAGACATGCATAGTGAAGTGACGTCACCAAGGTCACATAACTAGAAAATGACAAAGCCACCCTAGCTGGTTTGGCTCAATGATTAAAGGGTTGGCCCTCGGACTGAAGGGTCCTGGGTTCAGTTCTGGCCAAGGGCACAAACCTCAGTTGCACACTTGATCCCTGGTCCCAGTCAGGCAAGTGCAGGAGGCAACCAATCAAGGTGTCTCTCTCACATTGATGTTTTTCTCTCTCTCTCTGAAAAGCAATGGCAAAAATATCCTTGGGTGAGGATTTTTAAAAAAGAAGAAATGACAAAGCCATTGCTGGGCAGCTTGACACCAGAGTTCAGGCTTTCCCAATTTTTTTCCTTTAACAGCAACACATAAAATATGAGGAAAATGCATATAATTTTTAGCTACAAGTATGCTATAATTTTTTAAAAGACTAAGCATAAAATATTCAGAGTTCTAATTTCTAATGATTTAAAGTTTACAGTAAGATCTTACTTAAAATGTGGTGCTAACAATGTAATCATACTTTACTTAATAAGTTAGAATCAATATAACAGGAATCGAAAAATCTCTTTAATCTTCCAGGCTAAGGACATTCAGAGAACTAGTAAAAATGATCACGTAGTAAGGCTAGGAGTGAGGATGCTTGGATTCAGGTCAGAGAAACCTGTAAAGGACTGATGAAAAAAATACCGTATTTACCGTATGTGGCAAAGACTTACAAAATTCCCCTCGGCTTCTTCAGTAACCTCACACATAGATGATAACTTAGAGAGCATAACATTTTCAGTACAAAAGAAGAGAAACAGAGAAACACAGAGAGCCATTCTATAGCAGTTAAATTGTAGCCTCTGGGGTCAGAATCTCTTGGCTTTGCCTCAGCTCTGCCATTTTCTAGCGGTGCGATCTTGGGCAAGTTACTTAGTTGCTTTGTGCCTCCACTCCCCCTCTGTAAAGAGGGAGAGTGAGAGTACTTACTTCAAAGGGGTGCTATGAAGAGTAAATGAGTCAATAGTATAAGTACTTAGCACAAGATCTGACACATAGACATGTTACTATTACTACACATATTGCGTATATATAGTAAGAGGGAGAGAGAGAGAGGGTGGGAGATGGGTGGATCTAAACTACCAAGGAGAGTTAAGTGCAGGTTATTTGGTGACTAAACCACCAATCCAGGGGAGAGAACTTATGTTTTGGTTATACGGGGATAACCTAAATGTATCCCAGATGAATCCGGACAAGGTTTCATTTTGCCAGGCACTGACAGGGACATACAATATATCCTATGGCTATATTTAGGACATGGGATATATATAACCCTAAACCCATGGGAGAGGGGGCCAAACCCTCTAGAATAATAATAAACCCTCTATCTGTGTTATGACACTGAGAAAAGATGTCCTAAGTAAGAATTATTAATGACCTCCCCCTGCCTCTCCTCCCTTTCCAAACATTTTTACAGGACCAGTGGGATTTGCTGGCGTTTCCAAACTTCTTCCCAGGAAGTCTGAAATGGGTACTGCTAGGAGTTGCTGTATAATTACTTAGTCGATTCCCTCTAAGGAGCTTACTCTAAGAAGTGAAGAAAGCAGATTAACCATTTGAATACATGTCACGGCCCATCCACAAGCCCTCCCCTCTCTCCACCATAAATGGGGGCTTCCACACTCCCCACCCCTCAACCCCAATATGTGATCCAGGAAAATCAATTTTTGCTGTGGCTAATCCTGCAACAATAGGGGTTTCATTTTCATTGTGGGGCAATTAAGTTGTCCAACGAGAAGGAACAGGAGGGGAAATGGGGAGAGGGGACTCTCTCATCCCCACAGACAGATTAGTCCGGGTGGAGGCAGTAGCGTCCGCCGTCTGGGGGTCGGTCACACGCGGCTCCCGGCTGCTCCCTAGCAACGCAAAGCCAGGGGGAGAGCGCGCGGCGCCCGCGCCCCCTCCCGGCCCTTCCCATTCATCCCCGGCGTGCGCGCTCTCCCTCCCT